TGGTTGACGCTTCACAACATAGAGCATCTCCATCATCAGAAGTGTTTGCGGTATTGCCTTGTGGATTGGAGTTTTTATTTAGACTCCAACAATCCTTCTTCAAGTGACCATTCTTTCCACAGTTGTAGCACTTTAAATTCTTTTTCCTTCTCGACTTTGATCTACCATGTTTGTGATTGCTGCTTTGGTCACGTTCCGTTGATCTCCCTTGCAGATTTACTTGTCTGTCTTCCTTGTTCTTGCGTCGATTTTCTTCTTGTAGAACAACAGCTGCAACGTCATCAAAGACTAGACTGGTGACATTACTGTTTGTCAAGTTGATGATGAGTTGATCATACGAATCCGGTAGACTTTGAAGTAGAAGTTCAGCACGTTCTTTTTCTCCTATTTTACAACTTATGAAAAATATCTCCTTAGTTGTCTTCTTCTCCTCGATGCTTGACAAATACTTCATCTGCTAATGCTAGATGAAAGTTTGCCATAACATTCTCGTCCATTTCGATCCATTTGTTGTCATCTGTGAAATCTACCGGCCTTTCACTGATAGCTGCTAGACAACTGTCTTTTCTCAGGATGACCTTCATCTTTAATTTCCACAATGAGAAATTTCTCCCATTGAACTTTTCAATATCAAATTTCGTTGCCATAGCTTCAATTACGGATAGCTCCCACTATTTCACTATCATGAATAGTTCTCTAGAACCTTCAAAGAATGGGTAATAAATCCTTACTTTCTTATGTTGGAGGATCCACCTTTTGGTGGCAACCACAAAGATAAGAAGTAGATATTACACACTCTAATCTGGCTCGGATACCAATTGTTGCGGAAGACGGCTATCGAATAGAGCAAAATCGTAACTGCTAATTTGAGAAAATAAAAATGAAGATAAAAGAGACAAAATTTACGTGGAAACCCCCTTAATAATATAGGATAAAAACCACGAGCAACAGTAGAAGAATTTCACTATGAGAAAATAGGAATTACAACTTCTCTCTATCTAACAAGGAGAAAACAATGATAATTCTCTCTTGATAAAAAAAAAAAAGAAAACAACTCTCAAGAAACTCTCTGAATTCTCTAGTATTGGGAGAAAGCTAGAATGCTTTGGGATGAATTTGAAGCTAAATGAACTAGGGTATTTATAGTTGAAGCTTAAAGACTAATTTGTAAATATTTTAAATTACAATGACTAAAAATGATTTTACTATTTTCCAAATTTCAACCAATTCCAACTAACTTTCAGTGCCTACCGAAATTGCATGTACAAAGCCACATGTTTCCACCGAAAACAATGTTGAAAGTTTGGCCAACTTGCATCGTCTTTTCAACAGCATCTGCCAATGCCGACTATGAAATATGTTAGCAAACTAATAAGCATTTGTCCTGATTAAATCTTATAATTAAGACCTCAAAAACAGATATTGGTTCCAAAGATTTAGCTAGTAGATAGCATTTCTAAAGCATGGGAAACTTCTGTGAAGGCATTCTAATCCTGGGAAAAGCACGAGGAATTTTAACGAGATTCCTTGGTTAGGAACTTTAAAAGAAGGCAAGGGTTTCTTTTTCTTAAGAGTTAGAGTAGTTCTTTGAAGAAAGTTCAGAAGAAGGGAAAACCGGGTGCTGCAAGATGATAACTCACCTTATGTTTGAGCTGTTAAGTGTGAAGTTGTTGGCCGCAAAGTTCCTAAAAAAATTTAATGAAGCCTTATCGGCATTTGATTTGCGGTTGCAATTGATTCCTATTTTTGTTATTTGTCATTATAAAATTAAAACCCCAATATTTAAAATGTTTGAATAAAAATAATAATAAGGGTACAATATACTCATAGTCACCGAACTTTTAAAATAGTTTCATTTTGATCACTGATAGGTACATCTAGACCCTTATAAAGGACCCAATATTTAATGACCTAGTCAAATTTTAACTTGATATATTCTTCACAAGATAAGAAATTATAACCCCACCCAAGCCTAAGTCTATTCTTCGTATTTTCATTATTTTCTAATCAATACGATTATGATAAATGACATTAATTTATTAAAGAAAATGTCTTGTCAAAAAAAACTTAAAGAAAATGACGTGTGATTATGCTGACTCAGCAATAGTTGTCATCTGGATGCGTTAGCTGTCGTTAATTCGTTATGGTTTAACGACCAAATGACTGAAATAAATGTTTTTTTTTATTTCGATGATCAGAGTGAAAGTTTTCTAAAAGTTCAGTGATCATTAGTGTAGTTTATCTTAGAAAATATCTACTCTTTTGTAACCACCCACTCTTTATTATTTAATTAGCCTAGGGGTGACAATCGGGTGGAAAAAATTGAAATTCGTGGTGATCTGAACAGATGGAAATAGGGAATAACTAAAATTTTCACCCACGAGGATGGAGATGGGGATGAGAAAGTTTTATCTCCGAAGCTTAAATGGGGATAGGGACGGGAATTGCTATATCTAAACAGTAAGGATAACCGAACCATACTCGTGTGAATAATCGTGGGGATCCCCAAAAAATATCCATAGGAATCCAAGATATTTTACAAAATTTTAAAAATATATTTATAATCATTTACCTATATACCCTCAATATATATTTTAATAAAAAAATTATATATGATAAGATTGTGAAATTATGTGTTGTCACTGTTACATCTCAAAGAAACTAAAATTGAAGTTTAGATCTTTTTCTAATTTAATATACATTGATTTGTTAAGATTGAAAATGTTTAATATTGTACATATATATTGGGTGTTAGATAATTTTGACGTTTGAAACTTTCATATTATAAAATAGAGACTAATATGAGACAATCTGATATATCTTACAAGCTTTAGGTGTTGCATTGATTTCAAAATGTTTGTTTATTTTTTGGATGAGGATCAACTGAAATCCATATAGATCCGTAAGGGATGAGTATAGGGACAAAAAAAATCTCAGACAATATAATAGGGATCCTCCAAAATTGTATCCGTAAGGTTTGAGACGGATTGAGTAATGCAAAATCGTTGCCACCCTTATTAACCTCGTATTTTACATGTGAAAGATGCATACATTTATTTTATACACATCGATAGGTGTCACAAATTCTAATTATATTAAAAATATATTATTTTTTACTTGCGCGATTTACACAAACTCTAGTTAATTTTGAACACTTTTCCTCTGGTCATTAATGTCAATAGTAATCACAAATTTTGATACACGGTCATCGCCTAACATGATTCCCCCCCAACCAATTGTTTAATGAATGATTGAACAGTGAGAGCACTGAATTCAATCTTCCAAAAATGGGGTTTACAAGCTCTGGATACATGGAACATCAGTGGTGAGCCATGCAGTGGAACAGCTCTCACCGCAAGTGGTTCTGAGTTCGAGGATCCTTCTAATAACCCTGCCATCCATGTGATTGTTCTTTCCAGGGTGGCACCGTTTGCCACATCACCTGCTTGTATGCTTTTTGCTCTCATTTGTAGTTAATCCATGCATGTTAATGGCCTTTAGGGAAGCCTAATCACAGTTAATATCTCATTTGTAGTACTAATATTTTACGAAGTTTTTATCAGGAGGGCATTTGCTCTTAGATAAACGAGGGGTGATACCACAGGAGTTCTTGGAGTTGCCCTTTTTGCGTTACTTGTAAGAATGATCTTATTTTGAATTTTAAGTCTAATGCATAATCTCAAAATTAACCCTCAATTTTTTTTGAATTATCACTTTAACTTTTATATATATATTTTTGCCCGAATGTTTTATTTTTTTTGATTAAAACCATCTTTGTTGGATGAAAACTGTTAAAAGACTAACAATTAATTCACATTACTGACTTGATACTTTTATGTGTTTAATTGTTGAAGTAACACATCAACGATTTAACACATATGAAAATATTATATCAGCAACATGAATTGACCATTAGTTAATTAGCGGTTTTCATCCGGCATGATTATTTTGACTAAAAATTAAAACGTTAACCTAAAGTGTTCCAAAAGAAATCTAAAGGCTAAAATGACCATTCAGATAAATGTTAGGGCTAATTTTGGCATTACACCTTAGTGTTACTTAGTCTTACGGTAACCGAGTATAATCATTTATATTGTATGGGGATGCAGGAAGATTGATTGGAACTTCTTCACTGATCCTTTGCCAGCATTCATTGGAAACATATCTAGATTAGGGTTACTGTGAGTACTCAACAGATATAATCTAATAAAAGCATTTCATTTTTGGGTTATTTATTTGATTATTTTACTTTGTACAGGTCCCTTGCATAAAATGATTTCTCTGGACTTATTCCAAAGGAGCTTGGAAACCTCAAGGAGTTATTTATGCTGTAAGAGTTGAAAGAATTCTGGACTGGTTATGTTTTTAAGAAAACTTCACTAGTAAAATGACGTCGATTAATATCATGCAGGTCTTTGGGAAATAATAATTTCTCTGGAACAATGCCTCCAGAACTTGGTAATTTAGTCAAACTTGAACTGTCAGGTCTTACGTTTCTATCTATATGTAGATATTTTTACACAGAGATTTATTTACAGGATTACTTCTCATTACAGACGCGCATACGAAGACTGTATATGAAGAGTATTCAACTATGTATTTATTTATTTATTTATTTATACATGCATTGTATTTTATCTTTATTTTTAATTTTCTAACTGTCGGAGGTCTTCCACGGAAGCTGCTCTCAACCTGGCATTGGGGCAATCTACTATCCTATCTCTTTTTACTCCATTATATATAGAAATAGGGTTTTGTTGTTGTTGTTGTTGTTGAAGAACTGTAAGTTCAAACTTTCTTTACTTCTCTGTAGAGGGATGTACATACATGATTGTCTTTACACTGTTACCCTATGAAATTATAACAGCAACTGGCTTATGAATTTGGCAGATACATCAACAGTTGTGGATTGAGCGGGGAGATTCCCTCAACGGCTTATGAATCTGGCAATCTGTTCATACTCCATACTCACTTTCTGCTAATATACTTGTATATGCAGTGATTTATCGTACAATTTTCTATCAGGAAACCTGCCTTCTTGGGTAAACTCAGGCTTACAACTGTATGTATCTTCAACCAGGACACTACCTTTACTTTCCTTTGCTTCCTAATTTTAACACCAATAAGAGCTTGTTTCATGGAATCTTTGTAGGAACCTTGTGGCGAACAACTTCAGACTAAGCAGATCAAATACAAGGTGGGTTATCATCCTGCAGTGTACCTGATTTTCCTGTCTCCTAAACTTTCTTGAAAGAATTCTGTTACCTCTATGAAAATAAATGCTTGCAATTATATCTGCTATGCAATGCATTCTTTTTGAAGTTCCTAATTAAGAAATCGTTTCAAAATTCATCAGACATTTTCCAGGATTAGATTGCCTTCAAAGAAGCTTCCCATGCTTTAGAAATGCTCCACGATGTACTCTCTAAAACTTTGCAACCAAAACCTGTCGTCGAGTTCTTAATGCCTAATGCTTTGCTAAAATATTTCAATGTTGGCATTGACAGATGCAAACTTATCGGTCAAGTGTGGTGGACTATCGATGACTTTAACTTTGCAACCATTAGAAGACGACATTTCCAGTGGTAGACCAAACTCCGACAATACATTAGAAGACGCCACTGATGCAAACATTTCTAGTATTACCTGTATTTTTGAGCCATATCTATTGAAAAATTAAAATTCAATGAATAACGTTTGATATTTTTATTATGCTTTTACGTGCAACTACATCATAACCAGCTTATATAACAACTATGACTTCAAGCTTACTCAATCTCTTAACTTTTTATAACAGAATCCAAAACAACCATAACAACTCATACCACACTCAATGCACACATTAGCATTGCATGCACACGTTACACGTTAACACTGTATATTCTAGAATGCCCTGCATATTCTAGAATGCATATTCCAATAAGTCGACCAATTAACTCCATTCGATTGCCTTCAAACTTAAATTCAACGTCGCATAATATCTCAGATATATGGTGTTGACCATGATTTTGTTGGAAATTTACGTTTCCCTCATAACATCACATTTGTCTCCGCAATAACGCGTTGAGATGTAATTTTAATTTTGAAAATGGAAAAGTTAGTTTATTATAAATTTAACTCATATATATATATTAAAAGGAAGAGAAGAGAAGTAATATGAATATAATATACTTCATCATGAACAGAGTTCTGCAGATTGTAATCACTTGTATATCTCGTCTTCCCATAAGGGAGTGGCAGTGTCTTCTTCATGCAGTCTGTATTCTGCCACAACACAAAGACGATCCTTCAAACAATAGGCTTTGCAGTGCAAGAGTTAATCACCTCATAGTCGGCAGTTGGCCAATCTGTATTTTGCAGCTCCACCAAATCGTACACATCTTGTGGGGAACTTTGGGCATCTGCATTAAATCTGCTCCGCATTTACTATACTCTTCGTTTCAATCGGATACACAATAACTGGGCGGGCGTTTACATTCCGCCCTTTGGTAGCCTTTAAGGGTGAGGATGCCGTTGGAGATAGGGGTCGGCATTTGATTGAGTTGAGTAAAAAATTAAATTAGGCGAGTTAACAAGTCGCATTTTATGAACCGGATTTTATTTGAAATTTTTTTAGTTAAGTCGAGTTCATGAAATTTGGATCAACTCGAATTGTTCGAGTTTCTATAGAAATTTAGTTGTAATTATTTATGATATTATGATACATATTGGTTTTAATTTTTCGAATTTATTTAACCATATAACATATAAATATATGTATATATATCTTCATATTTTGTTTCACATGATGTTATCTGATATATGAAATAAAATTAAAATTATAAAATATATTTGTAATATTATTTTTCAAAGAAGATATTTTGATAATAAAGTATTGATGGGAGTACAAATTAGTCAATGAATTGATGAAAATGAATTAATTTATAAAAAAATGCAGTTAAAAGACTAAATTGAACAAAATATAAAATTAAGTGATTAAATTAAAAAAAATTGTAGTTAAAAACACGCATTTAAGTTACATAAGTATTCTATGGGTAGAGGAGCATATGGTTCAAATTTAGTCAAAAATTGACTTTAAATGAAAGATAAATTGAAGAAATGCAGATTTTTCGTGATGTTCGTCCATTAATTGACCAATGCAGATTTTTGAAGGATTACACTTGCAAAGCTATTGCCATGGAAGATGCGAAAAATCGTGTTCAGAGTATTCCCACTGCGCTAGTAATGGTTTGGAGTCCCCCACCGATGAACTGGGTTAAGGCCAATTCTGATGGGACGAGGGACTCTGGTTCTGGTTTCGCTTCTTGCGGGGGTGTGCTTCGAAACTCTCAGGGTGCTTGGCTTAGGGGGTTTTCGAAGTCAATTGGCTACTGTTCTGTTGTTACTTCTAAGTTATGGGGTATTTTCTTTGGGTTAACGTGTGCATGGGAGTATGGTGATTCTCCGGTGATATTGGAGTGTGATAGCTTGGAAGCTATTAAAATGATTGAGCGATTTCAGGATGGATTCATAATCTCACGATCGCTGCTCATACTGCGGATTTGTTGCAACGGAATTGGCAGGTGCAGTTGAGGCATATTCATCGAGAAGGAAATGATATTGCTGATGCTCCAGCGAAGCTAAATCGAGGCTTTGATTTAGAATGCTTGTGGTTCAATTCTCCTCCGGATGCGCTGCTCCATTTGCTGCGGGAAGAGATGGCTGAAGCTCATGTTTTATAATTGCTAATCTGGTTTGCTTTCCTTTGTTCACCAAAAAAAAAAAGAAGCAAATATTTGGACTTATCTCTGCAATAGTTTTTTCTCCCATCAAACAAATATGAATAAAACTGAAAAAAAATAAAGAATAATGAAAACCTCATTTAATAAAATTTAAAAAAATACTAATTTTCAAAGGAACCTCATTTAATAAAATTTTAAAAAAAATACTAATTTTCAAAGGCTTGTCATTCTTCGTCTACGAAACATAAAATATATAATAATAATTAAAGAAGTAATTAATGAGAAATTCAACGCGATTTTATTTGAATTTGACAAAAGGATCTAAGCAATTAGTAACGTCTTGTATTCCCCACTCCTATTATATGCGAACCCTGATGGGATTGCGTACTTTTTGCGCCTACCCGTGAGTTTTTTAAAAGCTATAAAAAAAGGAGATATAGTCATCTTAAGTCCTCCAAACTTTATAATTTTGTTACATAGGTCCTTAATATTTTTCATTCATTCCCGTCTCTGAATTTAATATTTTTTTTTTTGTATTTTTTAATGATGCGTAAGTATTGTACCATAGGGATAAAAAAGTCCAAATTCAATGGTTATGTAGATTAAAAATATTCAAGATAAATCTCACAACTAGTTAGTTTAATGTGGTGAGCGTTATATTCTTAAAGTAAGATCATAAATTTAAATTTTAACGTTTATAAATGAAGTAAATTGGGTTGAGAGAATTATTTCATATTAGATTTTCACAAAACTTAATCTAAAATAGTCAATCGATAGATTAGATAGCAATGTTAAACTATAAAAATATTCATGATAAATTGAAAATTTTAAAAATTAAGAAATTAAAATCGCTTTATAAATATGAAAAAATAGAAAGAAAGCCTTCCCTCACCCGAAGGGCAGCTCTTTAAACAAAACAGTACAAATAGCATTAAATGCCTCCATTAATGCCCTTTTCTTTTCCTATTTTTCTTCATTCTTTGGTTCTATCTACAACACCATTTAATTCAAGATTGTTGAAAAGTCTATGTCATCCCTCTTCAATGTAAATAATATCTTTTTAAATTCAAACTTTTAAATTTTTTATCATAAAATACATAAATATTTTAATTATAAATAAGTATAATTTTAGTAATATTTTGATAATTAAATATTAAATAATATTTTTATTGAGTTTGAGAATTTAATTATTTTTTAAGAGAATTAAAATTTTAATTTAATTATTTTAAATAAAAAATATTGAAAAGGTTGGTGTTATAAAATATAATTTGGCTAACGTAAAGCATCATTAAAATTATCGTGACTTTCAATTAATTAATAATAATGGCACATATCATCCAAACCATTTTTAATGTTAATAAATTGGACCATAATTTTGCATGAAGTAGACTGTTAAATTAATTGTAAGAACTAGTCTATTTAAAATGCTTCATTTGCTTCCGCTTCCCCTTGGCCTCTCCTTCCCTAATTCTCTGTTCATATCCAAAGCTTCTTCTTTCCTTTGAAGCCTCAAGGAAATGGCTGCACAAGTGAGCAGTTCATTAGTAAGAGTCTTGAGTGGACACATGGAAGAACAGCAACAGAATAAGATTCATACTGGGAATTCTGATATTTTGATTACCAAAGATTTGCTGGGAAATTTATCAAAAGCTAAAACAGATCTTGAATTTAAGGTAAGAAAATCAAGTGTTTTTGTTTTTTTTTCTCAGCAACAAATCCCAACAACTCATTTATGTCAAATTTAACTCTCTGTCTGCACAATTAATGTTTGAATTGAATACATATTTTTTTTATGGTTTCTTCAACTTTATCCTTTATGAAATGTCTGACATATTTCTGGGTTTCTGCTTATATATTGAATTTTCCCTTTCATTTTCTCTGCAACTCATCGTTTTTGTCCTCGTTTTTACCTTTTTGTTCATCGCCATGCAGGCAACTGGGAAGGTAGAGGCAAGAAACTGCAGTTCTTCACCGTTGTCGTCATCACCAAAGTCGCCATTATCAGATGGGAAAGGCAAGAATCCACTGCCGAATTTCCTACAAGATTCAAAGCTTCAAGATTTGAACTTTCCACCCATCAATTTATTCGAAGAAATGACGACTTCCCTCGACTTAAAGCTCCAATCTTGTCCGACCCCAAGCTTGTACCAAAGCGTCTGCACGCTCGACAAGGTCAAACACGCTTTGGAAAGAGCAGAAAAAGGAACCGCGAAGAAACGCTCACCTTCCCCAACCCCGCCGCAGCCGGCGGCGCAGACGACAACATCGTCTTCTTCATCAAAGCCGAAAATGTTTGCAGCTGCATGTCCCGGTTGCTTGCTCTATGTAATAGCTTCCAATACGAATCCAAGGTGTCCTCGCTGTGATTCTTTTGTTCCATCTTCTCCGCCTATGAAGAAGCCGAGGCTTGACCTCAATTCATCATTTTAGTCACTGCAAATAATTCTGGTTCATGTAAATTGAAAATCATAGGTTGTTTTAATTTAGCATTAGGGGGAACCAATGATGAAATCAATATAGATGTTTTGTTAGTTTAATTTTAATGATGATAATTGATATTTCACATCATTGTTTCAACATGATGAAATAATTGGCTTGGTATTATTGCAATGATGAAGAACACAAATTGATAATTTATTTAGAATAAATCAAAGTTTAGTTGGATGGTGGATAAGGGTTAGGTGAGGGTGTCTTGTATTATCCTAATAATAGTTATTGTTGTCGATTAAATTAAGCATTCTTATATGAAAATGAATTAAGATTTAGTCCTTAGATTTGACATTAAAACATACCTTGCAAAGTATCTCACTTTGTTTAAATGTTGAGCTATTGATGTTTACTACTAAGCACAAATTGAAGGCAAGTAAACACACACACACATATATATATATTATCAAATTGTAATTAAGATATATTTTCTTTTCTATTTTAACAAGTTAAATTCTTAATACTAAAATCAAAATATTTATACAAAAATTCATAAAATAATATAATTTTATGTTCTTTAATATATATTATATTTATTTGTAAATACAAAAACATATTTACACAATTATAATTATGTGTTTATTTCTATTAAAATATTGAGAGATGTACAAACTTATATCGGTGTAAGTATGTATAATTGTTAGTATATTTAGAGATGTACATACATTGGTATAAGTATGTATTGCTTGTTACAATTTTTTATTTTATTCATGCTACATGTATAAGTCGTACAACTAAATATCATATCAAATTATTTGAAAAAATTAATAGAAAACATACAAAAAACTATAATATAGAAAACTTTTTTTATGAAAATTAATACCAAAAATAAACGCAATAAAATACATTTAAAAAAATTGAATCAAGCACATACATAATAAATACTCAAAATAAAATAGAAATTTAATTATTATTTTTATTTTTTACTATATCAATCATATTATTTTATAATGAGTATTAAAAAATTTAGAACCACAATAAAAATAAAAGAAATCCATATCAATGTATTTATGCATAAAGGAAATATCATTTTGAAACAATTCTTTAATCATTAAGGTCGTTTTGTTCAGCTTAAATGAGGGTGGAACTATAAATTTATTTTAGCAGGGTTAAGATATTTTTGTTTTCCATGAATACAATTTTTTTAAATGAGGGGTTGGTATTTTTTTCAAAATTATATATTTTTAGTATTTTTTAATACTTAAAAAATAATTGACGGACCTAAGGATCCCATTAATCCCCATGAAGTTCCACCTCTGAGTTTAGAATGATTGTAAGATAATATTTGTTCAAAATATTTTTTAGTCAATAATTATACACATCACAAAAGTAGTTACTCGAATTCAAAAGTTTTAAAGAGAGTAATTATTTTTTTATCATTTAGATCGTTTAATAAATTTAACATATTATAATTATTTTTTATCATTTAGATCGTTAATAAATGTAATATATAAATTTTGAGGATTATTATTATTTTACTATAACACCCTCTAAATATTGGCTAAAATGTAAAATAAGTGCCTAAACTATATTATTTTTCACGAATAGGTGGCTAAAGTATTTTTTGACTCATCCCGATACCTAAAGTTACAAACGTTATCACTTTAGTTGCCCGAGTCATCAACTGTGTTAATTTCTTCCGTTAAATGATATGTCATAATTTGGTGATTTTAAAAAATATATTTAAAATTAAAAAACTTAAAATTATATATTTTTTATAAAAAAATAAAAAGTTTTGAAATTACCCAAAATTTTGAAAACCTTCATTTCAACTCCTAAACCCACATCAACCGTGGCAGATCCATAAATATTTTTCAAGGTGGGAACATATGTATTAATAATGAAAAATTTGTATGTGTTGGACACAAATAAAATTTCAAGGTTGACACTAACATAAAGAAATTCGTATTCAAGGGTGAGCACTGAGTTTAACATACATTCCCTACTGACGCGAGCAGTCGCACTTTGTCATCGACGAAGCTCCACCCGACCTCATCTCTCTTAGCAACAAAAATCCCTATGAAATCGTGACCGATTGACGATGAGTCAACATTTTATGCCCTGCAAACTCTAGGATAAAAATTGCAATCTCATGCGATTATGACAGTCAACCGACTGCAACTACGGCGGCGTATGTCTAAGAGGATAGCAAGGATTATGTCGGCGGTTATGATCATGACTGAAATGGGTGACGCTAGTGAGTTAATGTTAGGATTTAGGGATTTTAGAGTTTTTTTATAATTAAAGAGAACTTAGTTTTTTGTAATAAATATAATAATATTTTAATATTTTTTAAAAAATAAATTTCAAAATTACTATATTGTAACACGTGTTGGTTAACAGAAAAAATTAACATTATTGACGACCTAAACACCTAAAATAAGTCAAAAATATTATATATATTTATTCATAAAATCAATATAATTTGAATACTTATTTTTTTTGTAAGCACTAAATATACTAAAACACATATATTTATTAAACATCCTATTATATATCAAAATTACGTGAAGCGCCAATTTAGATTCAAAAGTCTCAACATCAAGCAATTTAATGTTGCTTTTGAAACTTCGTGTCCACGTCACCATCACACTTCATCAACCGGAGTGTCCGATAGTTCACCGACGGCAGACTCCATGTGTAAAACTGATTTGCCACGTGTCAGCCGCTGTTACCGATCCATCCCGCATTTAATGCGAATGTCGTTTGGGCAGGAAAATTATAAAAGAGTTTGGTTTTATTTTGCTACTTACGACGAAACTCATTAATGGAAGACTTTGATTGATGAGAAAATATTAAATATATAGTAATTACAAAGACAACGATGGCAACCAGCTTACTTTTTTTTTAATAATTTTTTTAAATATTTATTGCATGGGATGAGTTTGAGGTCAAGTAAATTGATAGGATACAAGAGTTTGTCTTTGCACCGATTTGAAAACATTAATTGAATTGCAATATTTCGATTTTAATATTTGTTTTCTTAAAAGTTTGCGTGTTGAGTCTCATTAAGCACGAAGATAAAATAATTTTTGTTATAACTTGAGAATTTGAGTTCACACGTTATAGATGTAAGAGGTGTAAACATTTAATGTTAAAAGGTTAAGAGTTATATTTAAATATATATTGTTTTGTATTTATCCTAGATTAATTAAAAAAGAATCAAATTAAAAAAATAAAATAAAGTATGTCATTCTTCACGAACTAACTTATCTAAGTAATTAAATGAATCATTGTTCTTCCTAGAGATCATAAGTTTAAACACCGACTGCAGCAGGGTGATTGATTGTTTATTGTCAAATAGTGAGAGTATTTAAAGTAATACTTTATAATCACCTTAGTTTAATCGGAAACAATATAAACTAAACACACACTACTAATTAATGTCATAATAATTATTTTCATGCATTTCTGATCAAATAGATAGAAACACGAATCAACTTACTTCAGTGATTAAATGAATCGTTATTGTTTCTAGAGGTCATGTGTTCAAACACTTGTAATTACATCAGAATGATTGAGCATTTATTGTCAAATAGTTAAAAGTATTTAGAACATATACTACTTTATAATTATCATAGGTTAAGAAAAAAACAAAAGATAAGAAGGATTTTTTTCCAAATTTAATATGGGTGGCTCATAAATAATTATCCCCAAACGCGTGCTACACGTTACACATATGATATATTTGACCCTAGCCTTTGAAAACACAATCCTAGTTTTTTCTTCTTCTCTCTTTAAAACATGAATTATATTGAACCCAAAATAATATATTTAGATCGAGTCCAATACCGCAATAATTATTATTTAATTTTAAAAAAATATTTCATATATATTTAGATCTTTCGAAAAATCCTAGCGGCTTATTTCTCCTCATCTTTCTTCCTTTTTTTTCTTCTTTATAACTTTGCAAATTTTATTGTTCAATCCAATTTTTTTCTTCAATTTTATTTAACTAACGCCGACGTCGATTTTGATGCTGGTTTTCGCTCGTGGATTTTTTTTTTAGTTTTTTTAATAAGAATAATTATGTCTTTATGACATATTATCCGTTTTATGTCATGTTTATCTCTGTCTTTGTGATACGTTTTTCTCTGCCTTTTGGTAATTTTCGATTTTTTGTCGTTGTTTTCATTTCTATTTTTTCTCAGGGTTGGATTTGACATCACCACGACTGATCAAGATGACGCTTATTTGTTATCATGATGATCTTTCTTGCTTTGGACTCTCGAATTGATTTGGATACATGTTTTGCGTTCGTGAATAGTTATTCCATGTTGCTTGAATCTGATTTGTGATTTGTCGATGGCCTTTAGTAGTTTCATCTCCTTTTGTAGTTCGTTTTTCGATTCAGTCAGATTTGTTCATATTTTTATTTTTTTCGAACTTTTTGGTTAGGTTTTTTAACCTTTTACTTATAATTGCTCATTGTGTGATATAGGTGGCTAATTTTTGTGTCAATAGTTATAAAAAAATATCATAATTATAATTTTTTATGTCTACGTTATACTTGTAAATTTTCATTGTAATTTTAGATATTTTCTATTTTTAATAAAACTAGTGGCTTTCTATGAAGAAGAAAAAGAAAAAAATATCTTTGGGAGGTTAACATAGGTTATTCTAAGGGATCGACCTAGGCAGGACGGGTAGGGGCAATCATCTCCTAAAAATCTAAAATTATCATATATTTTATATTTTTCTATGTATTTTCTATTGAAAATATGTTTTTGCCTCCTCCCTAAAATTTTATTTGTCTCCTGAAATTTTATAAGTTTAAATTATTCTCCTAACATTAAATCTTGCGTCCGTGATGGAACTTATTGTGTACATGTTTAACCTTCATTTTCTAGATTTGGATTAATCTTTATAAGACATATAAGAAGAAAATGAGTTGATGAGTTTGTGTACCACAGTACACGATTTAAAGTTTGATGTTAAAATAAAAGTATTTTAAATTTAATATTAAACTTACTATTAACCTACACTTTAATAAATAATGATATAATTTCCTCTTAACATTAAATATTTCTTTACACATCGATCTACGAAC